GAGCCAGTCTTTTGTTGCATCTTGCACCGCGAAGGGGAATGCCCTAAGCTTGATTTGATCCTCCGTGACATTGTATGGTTTCATGCCCACACACATAACATGGAACTCAGTGAGGAACTTGTGAGGATCTTCATTTTCCAGGCCTCTAAAGGTTGGGAGTAAATGGATGATCCCGGATTTTAGTTCTAAGTTGGTGGCTACCGGATATGTGATGCAAAGAGGTTGTTGAGTAACCTCTTGCCTCGCCCATTGGCGAAGGTTTTGCTTTGGTGGTGGATTTGGAGGTGGATTTCCTCCATAGTTATCTCCCATGGTATGAGTAGGAATTGAGGTTTCTGTGGGTGTAGAGGTTGGGATGTTATGAGTAGGTGAAGAAGGTGGAGTGGTATTTCTGGATGAGGATGGTTGAGGTGAGAGTGAGAGAGTTTCTATTTCAGTTTCTGACACACTTGAGAGGGGTATATCCTCCCAAATGTTAATAACCGGAGGGGTAGATGATGAAGAAGTACCGGAACCCGGTTGCCTCTTACGAAGCTTGGCTTGCTTCCGCAACTTCTTTGCAGGCTTCTCTATCTCCGAGTCAATTGGCAATGGTGTACCTATACGAAAAGATCTAGGCATAAACAATTAGTAACACCGTGTCCCCGGCAACGGCGCCAATTTGTTAGGCGTGTCAAGCCCAACAAATAAAGGGGTACGATATACTCCAAAAATAACACAACTATATTGCACTAAAAGGTAGTACAAGGCAAGCAGGGTCGATCCACAGAGACACGCGACAATCAGTATATACCTCTTTGCGCAAGGTACTATGGTTGCCAACACTAAAGAGGGGGGTTTTGAATGCAATGATTAAAACAAACAATTAAAAACACAAGTAATCAACTAAATGAGTGAATTAAATTTAGAATTTGTAAGGACTCCAACTCTATGTATGACAACTTGGCAATGTGATTCAAAGATGATTAGATATTGGCTCAATTCTATCTAAGTTGGTACTTGAAAGTGTTAATAAGCTCTAACACTTCTCATTCACTACATTAGTTAACCAAAACAAGCTCTTTGATTAACCCTAACCTTACTAACCTAATCTAAACAAGCTCTTAGAATTAGATTAAAAGGTTGCATTAAACTTTATGTGAATGTTCCTAACAACACCCAATACTCATCACAAGCTCGGGAGTGTAAGAGTGTGTGAATAAGATTTACACTAAATTCATTCAATGGAAATCAGTTTAGTGCTTGTTACTTAGTCCAATTCACAAAACAATTACGAATTTTGCAATTAGATAACTTGAATGACCTAACCCAAATTCAAATGGCCAATAAGAATCACAATTAGATATAAACATTTGATTAATGCAAAATCAAATTCACTAGATAGAAATTAAAAGCAAACATCAAGTCATATGATTGAAATCATAACTCAAGAAGTCAAAACATAAAGTTGGAGAAACTAGGGTTCTAGCCACACATGACAAGAACAAGATTAACAAGTCTAGAAAGGAAATTAAAGTACTAAAGTGCTTACAAAGATGAAATTAAAATGTTTCCAAATGAACTTCTTCAAGCTACAAACTAAAAACTTCTTCTAAGAGTCGTCCTTGGTCGCCTGGAGTGAATGAGAGTCTGTGTCCCCCCCCCTAAAAATCCCGAAATTAGATCATAAAAGTAAGTGTACGTTGATAAACCATTTGACACGACCAGTGTCAAAAGAGACACGGCCCGTGTCAGCTCTTCTGTGACAAATTCTTGTTTTCTTCAATTTTGCTCCGAAAAATCTGCATCTTTGTTTCCGGCCCTTTTTCACCATCCCGATTCATCTCCAACCTCCAGAACCACCTGAAATGGCATAAAAAGTGTGGAAATAAAGTGTGCCAAGTTTTGTCCCAAAACAAGTAAAATGCATGGATTATTACTAAATTGAAATGCAAAAGAGTAAATTAAACATGCTTCAATGGTGCATAAAATGCACCTAACACAATCATAGCCAGAAAAGGTCAACTCTACCATCCTTTTTAGAATATCATCTATCTATTTGAATTCTTTTGAACTTATGTAATGTTTATCTTTTAATGCAATCCTTTTTCATATTTAACTATTATACAGTCAAAAAAAAAAAAAAAAAAAAAGACCCCCTCGAACCCATACAGAGCATGGACAACTCCAGTGGTTATATTTAAGTAAATCATTTAAATAAAATAATTTGTGGATAAATATCTCAAACAGTCTAATTAACATTTAAAATGTTGAAGTGTCAAGACATATAAGTATAAGGATGTAGCCAAATAATCAAGAGACCAACATAAAATAATACATTACACATACATATTAAATCTAAATAAAACATCTTCTAAAAATTCATATCTTTTCCCCATCTTCAATCTTTTCCTATTTCCTAATCGAACGCATGTCAATATAAATAGATTAGGTTTGAAAATAGTTAGCATTAATTTGAAGTTATGGTGGTTATTCTGTAATACTTTTTAGAAATTAAATCTTCTCTTACTTATTCTTCTTACGTATCCTCCTACCATTTTTAGATGACGACAAGTGTAATAAAAATTTATTAATTTTATTAAATATGATAAGTGTCATGATCGTAGGTATGTAGGAAGATGATAGGAACAAAGAGTAAGAGGATATTTGATTTCTCGTATTTTTATATAAAGGATAATATGGTAATTTGAACCGTTGTTTTCTTCCGGTCATGCCTAACACTATACGCACAATTATTCATTTATTGTTTGGTTGATCATTTCCAATTAAGTAGTCTTATCCGATCTAGTCCATGTACCAAACGTTGTATTACTTCAGTTTGAATCGACTTGTAAGTCTTTACTGCCTTAATATTGAGTAAAATGGTTACTGTCTATTCAAATCAAACCGACCTCAACGGTTTAAGTGAGTTGTTAGTCTAAACTAACTTAAACATCAACTTGATCAATTCCAAAAGAGTTCAAAGTGGCTTTTGGTCGGTCCTAGCACACCAACTCTAAAATGACTAGTAGCATACTTATGTACATATTTCCTAAAGTACTTGTAATTCTAAAATTTGTTTAGGTTTTGATACGGTGCCTCTTGACCCCGCCATAGGGTGCATACCCCTTGACCCATGACATTCGTAAAGTTATAATCAAAATAGTCTTATACAAAATGACATATTGTACCAGCTAATTATATTATATATTAGTTGAAATCTCTTTTCATCTTAATCAATTATACAAAATGGTCGGATGATACTACAATCACCAAGATGATCTCTCAGTGTTAGATGAAATTGTTTATCCAAAGTGATTAGAAACATTGTTGGATTTAAGTTGCTCCAAATAAATATTATGGGTCTTATGAATGACGAAAAGAATTAACTTTTTGATAAGTTCCAATTGTTTAGTTGGATTTACAATAAAACATAGAAGCCTTAAGCTTATAATTATAAATTGGACCTGGTGGGTTCAATACCCAAAATTAAATTTTAAGCTACAAAGATTACATAGAACCCATGAAAATTTTCCCACGCAAACCCCCCCCCCCCCCCCCCCAAAAAAAAAAAAAAAAAAAAAAAACTCCCTCCCTTCTCAATCCAAATCCATAGCGTTACAAGAGAAAGTTCGGTTTTCATGTTTAGGTTTCATCATCTTTATGCCATCCAGAAAACATATATTCGTCATACAATATTCATTCAAACGAATTGATTTCAAGAAAATGGGATGAAAATGGCGCTACAAGAAATGGATCTTGAACAAAAGAAACAGACGAGATTCAACACCAAGCATTTTGTATTTGCTTGTGCTGTTTTTGCATCTCTTAATTCTGTTCTTCTTGGCTATGGTTGGTACCCATTCCTCTCTTTCTTAATTATATTTACATTTTTTCTATTTTTTATAATTTTAATAATAATTTATGGGTTCCAAGAGCTTGGAGATTTTGACCCTATTTATAGTTGATTCAATTCTTTCTGGGTAACAATCTTTTTCGCATAATCTGTTTCACATTCATGATTCATGCCTTCCATCCCAATAAAAGTTTCTTTAATTTTCTGAAAATTTCCACATGTATTGGAGAAAGCAATGTGTTTTTCCTCCCAAAAACCATGTTAATTCTAACATTTACATTATAAATAGACAAAATTACATAAATGGTCACTTTTACTTTCAAAAAATCATAAGTTTACGTCTTATTTTTTTGTAAGAATGGTCCATATTGCTTCAATTTCTTGAGTAGTTGGTCTCTAATCTATATAAAATATTTTTTATATATTCTTTTATAAAAATACGTGTAGAAATCACTTTATATGATTAGAGACTAACCACCTAAAAAAGTGACTATCAATAAAAAATTAAGGACATGACATTTTGTAAAAGATAGAGAGACCATTTATGTAATTTTGTCTTGGTGGAAGTTAATCTCATTTATTCAGGCATAATTTTAAGTTTTGAAATTCTGATACCGAAAAAAAAATCATATTGGTATATACATTTTCCATAATTTCGTTTATTATTGATTATCATGACAGATGTAGGTGTAATGGGTGGAGCAATCATATTTATGCAACAAGATTTGAAGATAAGTGAAGTACAAGTAGAAGTTATCGTTGGAATCTTGAACATAGTTTCCTTAATAGGAAGTTTAGCAGGGGGGAAGGCTTCCGACACTATTGGTAGAAAAAGGACAATGGCTTTTGGGGCCTTTATATTCCAGTTTGGTGTGATCGTCATGATGATCGCACCAAACTTCGGAATACTGTTGATTGGTCGTCTTGTGGCCGGAATCGGAATTGGTTTTGCAGTATTAATCGTACCCATCTACATTGTCGAGATATCACCAACAACATCTCGAGGACTTTTAACCTCGTTTCCCGAGATTTTCATAAACTTTGGGATTTTATTAGGGTATGTGTCAAGTTATGTTTTCCGAATATGCTTGGAATCGGAATCATCCCCTCGGTGTTCATCGGATTTGCGTTATTAGTGATTCCGGAGTCGCCGAGGTGGTTGGCGATGAACAACCGGATTGATGAAGCCAGACTCGTTTTATTGAAAACTAATGATAACGAAATGGAAATCGATGAGAGATTGAATGAGATTCGAAAAGTGGCTTTGAATGCCAACGATGCTCGATTGGTTTGGAAGGAATTGGTGAATCCAACTCCGGGAGTTAAGAGAATGTTGATCGCAGGGTGCGGAATCCGATGTTTTCAACAAATAACGGGAATTGATGCGATCGTGTATTATAGCCCGATGATTTTTAAAAGTGCGGGAATCACCGGGAATTCCCATCTACTTGGAACAACGATGGCCGTTGGATTCACAAAAACATTTGTGATCGTGGTAGCAATCGTTCTTATCGATAGAATCGGGAGGAAACCGTTGTTGTACGTGAGCACAATCGGAATGACTTTATGTACATTAAGCCTCGGAATCGCGTTTTCCGTTCTTAAGAATAGTTCCATCGGAATGGAATCGGTTGTGGTGTTCGTTTGTGGGAATGTGGGGTTTTTCTCAATTGGAATCGGGCCGGTATGTTGGGTTTTAAGCTCCGAAATTTTCCCATTACGGCTACGATCACAGGCTTCGGCAATTGGGGTGGTTGGGAATCGGGTTATTAGTGGCATTGTGGCAATGTCTTTCCTTTCAATTGCCAGACGAATTACAATGGGTGGTGTTTTCTTTCTTTTTGCGATAATTTCTGGTTTTTCTGTTTTGTTTGTTCACAAATGTGTTCCAGAAACGAAGGGAAAGTCGTTAGAACAAATTGAAACGATATTCCAGAGTGCGAGGAGGGAATTGGAGATTGAAGAACAACGTCTAGTTATGTCCAAATCTAAATATTAAGTGGCAGTGTGAATTATGGCTATAGAATGATTTTAGACTGTTTAGAACACAATTAGTAAGTGAATTTTAATATTTTTTCTAGTCTATGAGGTTTTTGAAAAAAAAAAAAAAAAAAAACGAAGGTACGAGCATCTCCGATCATAATCTAAAATAAAAAGATGGTGTAAAAAATGGATAACGAATTCATTGTTAATAATATCAGAAGATAAGAATCTTATCGTTTTATAAAATACCTTAAAACAAGGGAATTTTTTACTATTCTATGAGCAAAAAGTTACATTGTTTACCATTTTCTAAACAATTATATTTTATAAAATGAACCAATAATTCGTTGCGTATTTATGATATTAAACCTAATTTCTTTTCATCGCTCTAACTAAAACATACACACACAAAAAAAATCACTTAATATATCATAATAAAAATCTATCTATAGAATAAACCAATATCAAATATAAATATATAATATTTAAAATTTTAATATACATTTTAAAATTATCATTTTTATTTTACCGAGTTGTTATGATATAAATATATTTTAAAGTTGAACAATAGCTAGTTAAATATAATAATTGTTATGTTCTAATAAAAATATATGTAACACACTAATATATAATTTTATTATTAAAATATAAAACATATGTTTTTGAATATGATATGCGAGGAAGAAAATATATATCATCAAAAACTCACTATTTTTGTTTATTTCGATTTTAGGATCGGAGATTGCTTAAACCAAACAAAAAAAATTTATGAAAAAAAAAAAAAAAAAAAAATCCTCCATGAAATTAAACGAGATCAGGCCCAATTGTGACTGTGGTAGTTGAATCACAAAACTAGCATTGATCATTTGAACACGTATCAATATAGCAACATTGTTTTATGTTTTTCGTCATATATTTATATATATATATATAATCATAAAGTAATCTTATATCAAAAGAGAAAATTCCAGCGTATCAAAGATTTTTATTTTTTACCAGGCTACAACTTTGAATACACAAAATACAAGGAACTAAGATTGTGAACCAAGAGAATCAAATTTATATTCCTAAAAACAAATCAAACTCAATGAATATGTCTAGTATCATTCAAGAATCAAAAAACGAAAGTACAACTTTACACTCTTTTTACATCTAAGATTTGATTGTGAAGTGAACCGAGTTAGTTCGTGCATGACGAAAGATAGTTGTCTTGCTAAAAATAGAAAGTTGACGAATGAATCTTTATCCCATTGTACTTACAATATAGTCGCTGGCTGATGAATTGCAGAAAACACAATGATCTGATAAAATCTTCTTAAGAATGCTTCCATCTTCCATACGAAGCCCTCTACTTTGCTTATTCCAAAGATGAACAGTGTAACTTTGGTCTCGAATTTGTTCCAACTTCCCCCTCAAAAATCTTGCATCTGCCTCGTTTTTACCCTCACGGAAAAGAATCCGAACCTTGTCCCAGTTAACCGGGTAAAACGCCATCGGGGGTAAAACGGTAAAATTGTATCCAGGTCTCCCATGGAGTCTTGATACCACCCTTGAAACCAAGTAAGGACCATTGTGACCCCATTTGTTGCCATTGAAAGTTAATGCAAATTCTTCGATGAATTTGTAAAGTAAGGGATGCATTTTGTCGAATACCATGACTGCATTGTTCAATCTGCTCCAGTTCTTGGAATTTTGATCAACTGTTTGCGCTCCGATTGAGTTCTTTAATTTGGAGAAAGATTTCAAGACTATTACGTCGGTGTCGAGATAAACACCACCGTATTTGTATAACAAACAAAGTCGAAGGAGATTCGAGATGTTTTGGCCTAATGGGACATCACCGGAATGAACATGACCTCGGATTAGCTTTGAAAACCAAGATTCTGCCATGGTGCTCTTGAACAAGTAATCGAAATCAGGAGAAATTGCTGTTACTCGGAACCCTTTTTCGGAAAAGGGTTTGAGAATCCTGTTTCCTTTGATCGAATCCAATGAGTTTGATACAATCAGAAGACACCCATTTGGATTTGTTTTGAATATGGATTCAATTGAGTGAAACGTCCTTTCATTAAACGCATTCACTGGTGCAATCCAAGTCATAAAGAAACGGACCTTGCAAGAACCACCGTCGTTTTTCTTCATAAAGAACTCCTTCACCCTCGCCGGAAAATCTATTCCCCGGCGGCCGCGAGAAGACCCAAAAGCAGTCAACATCTTCAGTAGTTTCTTGTTTCTGGTTGAGGATGAATCCTCAGATTCAATCGTGAAACTGTGTGATTTACGCGAATGTGGTAAATGGGTGTTCGGAATTACATGTGGGTTTAGGTTTTCTTGTTTCCCGATCGCCATTTTTTCTCGACGTTGTTGTACTGGGTGCTTGAAAAACGGTACAGAGACGAAGTTTATTGGATCTCCGGTGCCGGTGACTCCAGTTTCTTCTGAGTTTGCTTGTAACGTCAAATGGGGTATTGAAATTTCAGATGGCGTTTCTTCTTTTACTGCGTGCATCAGTGGAGATGATGATGAAGAAGAAGATACAGAGATTAAGTTTCTTGAATATCGGCCTAATTTTGGCGGCGAGTGGGCGGTGCGATCAAGTGAAGGAATCTTGACGGAGAAAATGGAAGCGCCATTGAATGATAACAAGAAAAGGAAAACGAGTGAGATGAAAGCGAAGAGAGACCTCTTCTTGTTTTTGGTGTTGAGTTCCATTGAAGTTTGCCTCATGATGTGTGGAATTTCTAATGGCGATGAAGAGGAAGAGAGCAGGTGAGCATGGCGGTGCTTCGGCGATGGCGGCAATGTTTCTTGAACTCTGGTTTTTAATTCTAGAAAGAGAAAGAGAAAGAGAAAGAGGAAGAAAGAGGGGAGTCGGTGGTGATGAAGTTACATGCAAGCTCAATGAAGTTGATGGTGAGAGATTGACGTGGAGGGATGGAGGATCTATTTATAGTATGTGAGAGGAGTGATGAAGTAAGCATACGCATAGTGGGAAATAGAGAGAATACGTTCAACGATATGTTGCTTATAACAAATAAATGTCTTGCATAGAGGTGGCCATCACACAAGTTGCTTGATTCGGGTCCGAACCCGGCCCAATATTAGTCGTGTGAAAGCGGAGTTTAGCATAGAGATATACATTAACGATCCCAAACCGGTTGTTGTCGGTTTTGGAAGCGGTCAACAATTTTTTAAATCGGTTTTGAAACATTTTGATTTTTGTTCGTACCGGTTTGGAGCCTATTTTTTCGGGTTCAGTCTCATGGTCTTTGCGTGCATCTTTTTTGGTTCTTAATTGGAGTTCTTTCAGTACGGTTTTGATACTTTTTGCGTTTTTTTTTTTTGGTTTCGAGTTTATTCTGCTAACAAATGTGTAATTGTAAAGCATCTGGAAAACAAGGAATGACAAGATATTTAACAACAATCCTCTGCCTCCAACAAAATGTATGAATATCATCAAATCCCTAACTTTTGTGTTGATAAAAATAAGAGAAATAAATCTAGAATGGATTGGATTGAATGATGTAACTATCATTTTCTTTGCTTATAAAGTGTAATCCATACTCTTAATCATCTTTGTTTGCCTTTCTCTACCTACATTACATGCTAGTGGTTGGCTTTTTATAATATATTCTGGTTCCAAAAAAATAAATGTATAATTAACACAAATGTATATAAACTTTGGCTTCTGTCTTTTTTGGGATTGGTCTCGGTCAGTCTCGAAACGGTCCGGTCATTTTTTGTAACATCCCGTTTAAAATAGAATAATTAATGATAAACCCGGAACCCCAAGAAGTAATTTTATTATTATTTTATATAATTATTGTCCAAAAGCAAATAATAATTAGTGGGGTGTTGGTTTCGGGGTGCCAAATGATATACTTTTTATTTCCGAAGGTCAAAGAGTAAATATCAGACTTATTTTGAGAATGATTCTTAAAGCCAGGATAGAAATGGTAATTTATGGATCTTAATTGAGAATAATTTGTAGAGGAGGGGTTGTTTTGTAACGGTTGGACTTATATTGAAAAGAATTATGGGAGTAAGGGTTTATTGGGTAAATTAAGGATTTGTTTTGAAAGAAAAGGGAGGAGGAGGGACCATTTTCGTCAATATGGATCATAGTTTGTATGGAACGGGTATATAACTGTTCCATTGCCCATAAACCCTAACCCTAGCAAGTGCAGCCGCCATCTCCTTCACCCTCCGTCCTCAACTCCGGCACCGCTACCTTTTTTCCGTCGAGTCGCACACCACCTCAGTTGGGGTCCCAAACCACCGGAGCAACCACCTCTCGCTCACCCTAACGTCGGGGAAATGAAGTTGCGAGCAATGCTGCCGTCGTTCATTGTTCGAATGCCTTCCAGACTTCGCCGCCACCCCTTCCCATTATCGCCAACGGAGCTTGTTGCCGCTGCTGCATTGCCGACGTGAGACAGCCAGGAAGACTGATGGTGCGAGGGATTGCTTATGACACTGTTGTTCGGCCGTGGAAGCCCTCGCCGCCAGCCGTTACTCCGCCACCGTAGCGAAATCCCCATTGTCGGAGACCATGAGACGAGAATTGAACCGGTACTGTAGTCGTAGGAGGAGCAGGTTCAACCGATTGCTATTAGGACTCGATGTTGCCGTTAGCCGCCGACCGACCGCCACTGCTGCCCTCCTCATTATGTCACCATCGCCGCCTTACGCCGCCAGGTGGGTGGCTGGGTTTATTTCGCAACAGAAGACGTGTTAATGTGTGTGTGTGTGTGTGTGGCTAGTTGGCCGGAACTAGCAAGGTGAGCCACAACCACCACCGTGAGGTGGTGGCTAGCACCTCCAACCACCACCTACCGCCACAGTGAGGTGGCTGTGTGTGTATGTTATTTATGTGCATGTGTAGCTTAGTGTGTGTTGTGTGTGTTTGGATATCGTGTTGTAACATTGTAATCGATCGAAATAGTAAGAAAAACCCAAACCACCACCGTAAAGTGGTGGCGGCAGCCGCCGTGTTGGGTGGCGGTGTGCCTAGCT